AGGTCATAAAAATTAATTAAAAATGCAAATGCTGCCACTCACCTGTCCTCTGTAGCTTAATTTCTCTTTTTGTTTCCTTCTGGTTTTGRAGTTTCAGAGAACATTCTATTTTAAAATTCTCCTCTTACACACAGATGTGTTTATTACGCTCKATCTGTGTCACATTTCTTCTGAAGGATCTTCATGAAATAACCGAATTCTGCTTGCAGCCCTCTCAAGTAGACAGTCCTTGATGGGTGAGATCTGAGCAATGAAAAAAAAAAAAAAAAAGGATATGTAAAAAGATATTGGTCACTCACCAACAAAACCAAAACAGTGACCAAAGCTGCCTGCTCTGCAAATGTTTTGCACTGTGGTTATAAAATTTAAATCCTAGGGAGACCTTTGGGTTTTGGCAGGAGAAGTCTTATAAGTTATTTTTATTTATGGTCAGGATCTGGTCATTGAGCTGGACAGGCGTCATCACCCCTTCCTTTAGTAAGAGATTTTTTCATATGGGGTGTAGGGCAAAGGGATCATGTGGGACAGCAGCCTCATAAAAGTGGATATTGGTGCCCTATTCACACATTCATCCAATTTTCCTAGRAAAAACACCAATGAGAGAAGCTGCTGCTCTCTGTGCTCTAACAATCCACCCAAGGGTTAAAATATTGATCCTTACCTACAATATAATGTAGCTTGACATGTTTCATCAAGCATGTCACTCTCACTTCAATTCCAGAGAACTTCTCTGCAAAGTAAAAACAGTAAAAAAAAAACCCCTAAGATAGCTAGTAACATATTAAATATATTTAAATAAACCAAAATAGCAGAGACAGAAAAAACTTCATCACAGCACAATAGAAAATTAAACACCAAACTTTAAACAAATCGTGCTGTTTKCTTTTGCGGCAGCAAGAAAGAGTTTATTATTTCACTATTTCATCTCACCTTGTGTCATTAAAATATAGGACACAAGTAGTAAAACACAAAGTAAATATGCACATATCTTTACACCATGTAGGGCAGCTATAAATCTTACCCTTTGATAACAGCTGTACCACAGCAATCATTCGAGCAGTGCAGCTGCCACAACAATATCAAATTTTATAGTTAAAAAGCAGTCAAAACTTTAATGGTACAGTGGAGGTAGATATATATTGTGCTATAAATAAACATTATCTAATGAAGAAATGAAACATGTTTATTTTTCCTTGACATCTCGYTCAAAATCATATATCTTTGCTGCTGCAAGCTGCTGTAATAGCAGCCATTATACTTCAGSATGTATAACAGCAAGGTCTGTAGTTGGGCTAATTACGCTGGGTTTAAATGAGGGATGGGAGAACTTCAGACAGCAAGGCTTTCATTTCAGCAGAGTAGTATCTTAAAATGTTATCAGAGCTGGCAGAGGCTCTGCTCCAGTTGGGAATGGAGTGAGAAATKAGTGGGTTTTTTCCCCTCTGCCGGTGACTCCTGCTGTGCTGCTGTGACAGGGTGTAATCGATCTGGGGAGCAGGGGACCATGAGAACCCATGGGCTGCTCCAGTCCCTGCCACGTTACTCAAATATGAAAAACCTCTGAAAGGAGTCCAGAATCCTTTCAGTCTAGCAGAAACAGGCTCATCTCCCTGCCAAGGTAAGAGTATGACTAAAATGTGGTTTCCATGAATTTACTGAGGTTCCTGAGGTGCTCACATTCAGCCCAGGGATGCACTGATGGTATTTATGAAGAGATCCACCTGCACAAAGACTGAATGAACATGACCTTTAAATGCTGGAAACATCTAATATTGAAGAGATTTGTGAACACAGCTCATTGTGCTACATAAGGGAAGGCCACAAAACATTGTCTAAGCTTCAGGCATGTGTTTGTGCTGAAATTTTCTCTTGAGTCCAGAGTGAACTTCTGAAAGACACCTCCCAGTCCCTTCTACCCACTGCAAAGAAAGTTCCCACTTTCTGGAAACCACTCTCAGGGTGTCCTTTGAGGAGCACTRAAATGCTGGTGTGCACCAGGGTCAGTCCATAAGACCACACCAGTCTCAATTCAGGGCTAGCCACCCCAAAAATAGAGGGGTAGATTTGAGGTCCTCAGCAGCAGCTCCTCTCCTCTTCAGCTCCATCTCCACTGCTCACTGGGATCATTAATGTTGGGAAAGATCTCTAAGGTCTTTGAGCCCAACCATCAACCCAGCTCTGCAGGTCCACCACAAATAAAAATGTAGCCTCAGACTACTAAAAAAAAAAAAACCCAAAATCCACAACTACAGTACGTCACAATGAGAAAGATAGTGACAAAGCAAATATTCCGGGTTCTCCTGCAGCGCCAGGGAAACTGGCAAGTAAAATTCATGAACTTTAATCCATTCCCTTAAAAATCCTCCTTAGGAAGCTGCGATTCCCCTCCTCACACCATAAAATTCTCCCTGCCAGAAGGGAGATTACCATCTTGCCTGGAGTTTGCCTCCTGTTCAGTGTGGGTTTCTCTGGAGGTGACACATGGACACCCTGGTGGGAATTGCTGCCGACCCAGGGGAGCAGATCCGTTGGAGATCAAATCCCTGACAAACAGCTTATTACAGTTAAACTTYGTGCGTGCCCACCATCAGGGATCCTCAGGGTGCTTTTGCTTGCCATCAGCAGTGCATTTATCCAAAAAACCCCATGAGATGCTATAAAATAAACCCAACAGCTGTTAGCAGAAGATGACAAATCCTAGATACCTTTTTGTCACATTGCAACCTATACAATTTGCTCCGTGTTTACAAACAAATTGCTGCAGAAAAATATTAAGTCCTGGCATTTAGAGAAGCTCTAGAAATTACTCACTCCCCTGGAATTCTGCATGACAAATTAAGACTGCTTCGACTCCTAATAAATGTAGCTAGAGCAAAGTTTCATAAACATTCTTGAGATTTCTCCTGTAACAGCTTTATTTTGGCTCCCCACTTTTCCTGCTTAAACAAATGGAAAGG